GAAATCAGAAGACAGAAATTTGCTTCATGCAGTCATCCTTTAACAGTAAAAAGCTTAACTACCCGCATACTTGAAAATTGGCGAATATTCCGACAGTCGGTGCGTGAACTTGAAAAAGAGGAGCGGAGGGGGGGGGATAGATTGTAGACCGTTCTTTAGATTTTTCCGCTAAATAAATGCTTTTGACATTTCGATATGTGCAATCATATAAAAACAAACCAACGGAACAGAAAAATATTCTGCTTAGCAAAGCACAGTAAAACTCTTTTAAGTGTTCATAAACAAATCTCGCACCAAACATCAAAATTAATTATCTCTGCAAAATATCGCAAACGTTATTGCGCAATATGTACACCGTAATTCTTCCCTACATGATATTACGCAATCGGATTCAACAGCTGCCGATATTGGGAGAATAAAGAACTAAATCAAGGAAGGAAAAGAAAGAGACTTGGGGTGTTTTTCATTCTAATTTTTAACAGACTGTGTTAAATTTCCGGAATAGAATCATTCTTCGCTTGAGTTGGTAGACCGCAAAACTTTTAGTCTTATTCAATCCAGATTGGAAAGTGACTGACCAAAAAAAAAAAAAAAAAAAAAAAAGGAGTCTGTTGCTTGTTTTGCAACGAACTGTAACAGTTTCAATATTCGTGATTTTGCGGAGAAAGGGGAGAACCTCCCAACCTTCGTACTTGTATAATGGATTGGCCAAAAAAGTGAAATTATTTTATGATTATTCGATTACTCTTCCCTTTATTCAAGCCATTCCGAATATTATTAATTAGAATGCTAATATGTGTTAAAACACAACCATTTTTCTAGCAGTTACTGCAACTATGTTATTATGAAACATTCATACACATACTCATAATATAAGCATACGACGGTCATAATAAGCACGAATATGAACTGACCAAGCGGAACGAGGAATGCAAATTATTAAGGTCTTGATAGAAATTCAAACGTGTGTAGTATTTGGGTGGGAGGAAAAGAGAATGCCGAATGTACCGGAATTTTCTACTGTTTTCGCAATTCTTTGACCAACAGAACGACGGCCACCTGTCTGTACTCTCCGCGCACACCAAAGGTTATGTTAATGCAGAGAAAGGGGTGAAAAGCTATTTCTGGGAGTATGATTCGCCATTTGACATTCCATATTAGGAAGAAAAGTTGTTTATTTAGTTTCGGCTTTGGTACGGGGAAAAATTGCACGTTCATTTTAAAAAAAAGCACTAAAAGCAAAAAATAAGCACTAAAAACAAAAAAATAAGGGCTTTAAAGAAAAAGTAAGCACCTATAAGGGCCTTTATATTTTATTTTCAAATATAAGGACTTATAAGCACTTATAAGGACCGCTACGAACCCTGTTTTAAATCCGAGTCAAATGGCACTAGAACTGTAGCTGAAGTGGAACTGAAAATAGAGGCAAATTCTCCTACCAGGGCTAAACCAATTTTATTGTTGGTCTAAGATATTCTACAAATTACCAGAAAACACATGTTGAAAGGGTAGAAGCAGTTTTTCTAAAAGGCTGGTGAAGTGCACACTTTTCTCTTTCAGTAATGGAGACAAAAGGCTATGAGCTGTTGTCAGCTGTTGAGACCTGGTCGTATCAGCTGTTGTATAACAGAGCTAGCTGTTCAAAGTACTTCTAGACTTTACTCTATGAGAAAATCTGTGATAGCAGTTTCCCATGTAAGGGAGAACTGTGTTTAACTATTTGATCTTTTATGTAAAATCTGTTATTCACATAAAGCTGTAATAAAATTTTAAATCATCCTGATCATCTGGTTGAGTTATTTAACCTTTCTGGTGCTGGGAACATATATATCCTATATGTTCAACGCATTAAATAAGGCTCATAGAAACTTAATATGTTTAATATGGAGATTAAAATTTGCTACTTAATATGCAGGAAATGGCAGACCTTGCCCTCTCTTTTTTTTTAATGGTTGGCAGAAAAATTGACTAAATAGCTTCAATACATAAAACATTAGTTTCTAAGCCCGAGCAAAAAGACTAAGCAGGTCTCTATGATCTTGTATCTACAATACAGCCAAGAATATTAAAATAATAGTAATAATGATAGAACAATATTTGATCTACTCCTAAAATACTTTTAGCAACAATTTCAATAATTCTTATGATAAACAATAGAATATTAAATTCTACAGAAATAAGGAAGAGCAATATTAGGAAGCTGCTTAAAAAACAACATGTTAACACTGAATCATACAGTATACGCATTTTAAATAAAATGGCATATTTCCCATATAAAGCTGCTGTTACATTCTCTGTCTTCAGCATAATAAATCATAAACTGTAAGACGCAAAACTGCACCCAACAGCTCATACACAAGCTGATCTTGAATCTTAAAAATGCTGGGATATGGGACACAAAAATTAATACATTAACAATTTAAAAGTAACAATGCTTATTAAAAGTCAAGGGGACGAAAAGAAAAAAAAAAAAAGAAAACCAAAAAGAAAAAAGAAAATCTGATAAAAATAAGCTACATCTTAGTAATAAAAAGAGCAAAAATACAAATGCATACATAACCAAAATATTAATCAAAATCAATATTAATAACTAAGATAACATACAAAGAGCCCTGGATACTGCGTACTGTAAAGATTTCTAAAATAGCAACATATTTTAGTAATTTCTTTTTAATTATATAAAATAAGAGAATGAGGAAATACAGAAAATATATCAAAATAAATAAAACATATAATTTATGATAAACTTTAAAAAAAATCTAAATAAAATACGCAGTACTGTAGTCAATTTTGTCATTGCACAAATTAAAAACTGAAACAAAAGTTTTTAATTGGTTAATTATAATCAGTTGAAATGTTAGTCACTCCTTTTTAAAGATAGGCAATTTCAACTTACTGAAAATTAAGGCAATTTCAACTTACTGAAAATTAAACATATCTCGCTCTTGCTCCTTTTCGACAGAACCAATTTGTAAAGATTTCGATAAATCGACATAAATTATATTCTAAAAGCATATCTGTTTCATTCACGGTGATTTATATTTATAAATACATTAATTACACTACTACCTACAACTGCATACATACATAACAATAAACTACCAGATTTCTATGAAGTCCATTCTATTTTCAGAATCTGTTATTGGACTGTAATCATAATTTAGAAATATATGCAGATTACCATTTAAGTAAATAAATCGCAATGTACTAATAGGAATTTTAGATAATATCAAAGGCTACTCTGGCCAATTATTATGCTTATGCAAAAGATACAAAATATAATTTCACGTCCAAATTTATTTTTATCCCCCCAAAAATGATACACCATAAAATATCCAATATACCCATTCTTGCAAGAATGTGTGAAAGATAACCATAATCAGGATTATCCAATGAAAAATGACCAAATGGTTATCTAACAGGCAAATCAAAGGGTTGCATCATTAAAGGGTGAATCAAACACTTTGCGCAAAATGAGTATCGATGGAATTTCTGCAGTCCAGCATTTGATTTCAGATTCAAACACTTTGTTATGTCTCTAAAGTATCATTTGGAAGAATCTGTGAAGTGGTGAATCACTGGCCATTTAGAACAATGGCAATAAATCATGGAAGCATATATTTCAAGACAAATCATCTCTACAGAAATAACTTCAGAACTCTGGAACTGTTGTAAAGAGGTCCGGCAATAACCACCACTGTAAAAGAAAGCCTACTGCTTGGTAATTAAGCTCAGAGGTTGCAGCCACAACAGAAACTGTGTATCATGACATTTTATAGAGAATGCTTAATGAAAATGCCCTTTACACCAGAAAACAAAGGGTATTTGTTTCACCCTCTTCCCAACCAACTTCTTAATTGGCACAAAGAACATCAGAACTCGAGTGAACACCAGTGGTTCCATGGTCTCTTTGAGGAGTCTCAATTTCGTTTAACATCTGATTCTCAGTATGCTTACATCTAGAGGGAGCCAAGCACGTGAAATTTCCCTTCAAACATAATGGAATGTGACCAATTTGGTACTGCAGGTATGATGAGGAATACAGATCGATGGATCTTTACACATTTCCAACAACGAATCTCTGATTAGCCTAAGCTCTCATGGGGAAAGTCTTAGAATTTTATGTAAGAAGATTCTCATAGATCTGACTTTTTATTTATGATGCTCGTCAACATCGAATGAATTTCACTTACAGATTTCTTGAAAGTTAAAACACTGAATGCATACAAAGGCTAGCAAAATTTCTTTATCTTAACCTAATATAGAAATTACGGGACTACCTTTGTAAAACAGTCGCAAAGACATCCTCCTTTTAGCTATGTATATGCTATGAAGACTACATCGCTGAAGTATTGAAACTTAATTCCCCAAACTGTGATTAATGTTACCACCAGCATGAAAACATGTCATAACACATATGCACAAATCAAAGATCATATTCCATATTAAATTCAAAAGCTTCAATATTTTTCTTGTTTTTGTTTTATTTCCTAAACTCACCTTGCAACATATAATTTTTTTTTTTTTTTTGTTGTTGTTGTTGTTGTTTTGTTTGTTTCTTTTGTTTCTTGCTACAGTTTTATATTGTATGCAGGGTTCTTTATTTTTGCCTTTGTATTTATGTGTCATGATGTGACGTATCATTCCACATGAATTCTTAAAATTACAGTTCATAGTTTCTAACAAATCCATGATTTCATGAATGTAAAAATAATTTTGGACATGAGTGTATAACATTAATGATGTTATATCAGAAGCAGTCTAAGCATTTAACACTAAATAAGCATTAAAATAATCATTTATATGAAAAAACAAAGGCACATATATCTTTTTGAGCACATCTTATTTGGATAAGAATGATCATTTGAAAGGTTTCTCATATTTATTTAGAACATATCCAGGGCTCTATGGTTATTTTACACTATTACAAAAAAATAAACGTGTTAATTCAAGAAAAATATACATTAGAAAGAATAAATAAAAAAAGAACATTTACACACCAGGGGCGAATAAACTGCTGTAACATAGGGGCGACATCCACAGGGCATACATAACCGAGGCGCCCAATTGTTATGGCTATGTACCAAGGATGCAGAACAAGATGAGACGGGGTGCAAAAAAGGGAGAAAAAAAGCCAAGAACAACTCATAAACAAACGTACAAGGCAAAAAATATGGATAAATAGCAATTACATAATTTATTTAAAAATAAATATAATGGATAAATAATTTTAACCATGCACCCTGCAACGTCATGAAGAGGTTTTTAACATACTACTTAAATATGTAAAAATTTTCATATGAGCCAGCACTTCTTTACCTTTTTTTTTTAATTATGAATAAAAAAATAACAGCTTACAAACTGCACATTTTCGAATTATAATACACTTTAAAAAAAAAAAGAAAGAAAGAAAGAAAAAGAGAGGAAAAAAAGGCTGAAATAATGTATTATTCATAGAATATTCTTAAATAAATTTTGAAAATATAGTTTTAAAAGTACAAAACTTTGTAGAATGGACACCAGTCATAGCTAATTGATTTAAAATACATATCAAAATAATATTTCACATAAAATAAAAGTAATATTCTTTAAGCATACTTCCGTGCTTTAATGCTTTAACACATTTTAATATAGATTGCTTAAAAATGATGTTGATTTTGTTAAATTCAATAAAATAAAAACATCCTTATTAGTATTTCAAAAGCTTTAATTACATAATTTTGAAGTTGCATACAATTTTCTAATTCTCAAGTAAAAATTATATATTATCTGATAGTAAAAAATTACCATACAGAGGAGAGTAAAATGGGTTATTTAATTAATGCAAAGCACACTGTTATCTACCTAGGGAAAGATATGTTTTCCTTGAGACTTCTGAAAGAAAACTGGTCTATATTTACAGTGCACACACAAAAACCAAAAAACTCAATGCAGCCAGCTCATTCAATGTTTGTTAAGAACAGAAACTAGGCTAGCTACTCCCAAAGTGATGCAGCAGTAGATCAGGACAGAATTTTGGTATGGCACAAAATAATTTGAGGTTTGTACTTGCTTTCTTATATATATATTTACTTACAATAATTAAATAACTGTTGAAATTTTATATTTTTTTACTTGCTTGTTTTTACTTGCTTTCTTATATACAGTCAAAAGTCGTTAATTCGGACACCCATAATCCGGACCTCAAAGCTAAAAACTTTCTGCGCATGCGCCGTGTTGACACATGCGCATAGGCGTTTACGCGTGCGGGTAAGACCTTTTTGACTGCGCATATGCGCGTGTGCTAGCGAAGAATACGTTTTCGCATGCGCATTTAATGTACAACGGATGGTATAAGCTAAAATTATCTAATTATCTATTTCAGTTAATGTTGATGATTGCGTTGTTCCTTAATCTTCGAATTGGATCCGGCTTATTATTTTTTTGCAGGCTGTAAGAGCAATTTTATAAAAGTAAACTTGAACTTTCAATTATGTCAAATAGAATTTCCGATGCTGGAGCTCCCAAAGGATCTACAAAGCGAAAGTTTGTTTCGATGTCCATCAAACAAAAAGTGGAATTGCTGCAAAAAATGGATAAAGACATGAAGTGACAGGAAGTGAGGTGACAGAGAGGTTAGTGAAAACGAAAAAATTTCGATTGACAAGTTAGTCGGTATTCTCGGCACAGCAATTACGGGACTTGAACAGCGGAACTTCGTAACTGAACAAGAAATTATGTCTGTTTATAGAATTAAAGAGAAAGTATTATCACATAAAATGAAGCAACTTAAACGACTTACATTGAAAGAAATGTTTAATAAAGTAAACAAATAAATATTAAGCTTTTTTCTTGTAAATTTTGATACCCTTTAGATCATAATTGTTCTTTATTTCATAAATTACGGTTTCATATTTTTATTTTATGCATGCCATCTTACGAGATTTAAACTTATCATCTATAATCCGGAATCGCCGAAGTCCCAACGAGTCCAGATTAACGACTTTTGACTGTATATATTTACTTAATTAAATAACTGTAGAAATTTTACATTTTTTACTTGCTTGTTTTTACTTTCTTTCTTATATATATATATTTACTTACAATAATTAAATAACTGTTGAAATTTTATATTTTTTCTACGAGTGCATTACTTTTTCAAGACAATATTCATTTGCTCTCCCTCCATAAAACTTAGTCTAGTTTCACAGGTTCGGCCCTACAAATTTTGCTTTGCAGCATAACAGCATATTTTGGCACGTCCTCTGTCAATGAACTGTATGTTAATTGTATATTTTTACCCAATAGAATTTCATCGTCCTCTGAAAATGCACATGTGGCACTAGTAACATAACCCTGCCTGACTGGCCATATTTTCATTCAGAGAATATCCCCCTTGTAAGAAATCAAATTTCCAGAATTTAGGAAAATGCCGGGGGGGGGGCATTGCACTAAAGTGAAAAAAGACAACATAAGCTTGCTGTAAGTATTTAGAGATTATATAAGCTGTTTCATACAGAACATAGGAGTAAAGACAGATCACTGCTAATTGTAATTCTAAAAGCTTATAGTTAGCAGTTATTACCTCTGAGCTGTTGTTGCTCCATCCGCATACTTTTATCATTACTTTGCTTATCATTTTATAATTTATGTTAATTTGGAATGATGAAATTTAAAAAGTATAATTGCAAATTCTAAAAAGGCTACTGATGAATTTACGAGAAGTGAAAATTGCCTAAAAAATTATAAATAAATAAATACTGAACTTTTCTTTACAAAATAAATATTTTAGAAATACTTAAACTGAGTAATTATTTTCATATAGAAATTTGATAAGTGAAGAGTTTTGATAAACCAAACTGTACACCGCAAAATTCAAAATCAACGTCAATTTTTCATGGTAACTTAACTTTTCATTGTTTAACCCTTTTACAGGCGGTGGTAAATATCTTACCACTAAGCAATTTGTTTTCTAGCAGCATACGGAAAATTATTTACCAGCGCCTGATATCAGGAATTTTCCTTTGGAACCAGAGCTTCACATTTTCTGTAATAGTTGGCTGTAGAGGCCACGTAAACCGCAACATTTCTGCATTCACGTACTCTTTTCTTATTTTATTGTGTATTGATATATAAAAATACGTTAAAAGCTATATATTCATATATTTTGTATCTTAAAGGTTTGAAAGCTAAATTGTATTAGGCATTTAAAAAATATAGCGAAATATTTTGTTTTATACATATTTGAATTTGGTGGTAAAATATTTACCATGGCACGGTTAGTGATTTTAGAGGTGGTAAATAATTTACCACTGCCTGATCAAAACACTGTTTTACTAATATGTTTTGCTTTAGAAATAGCATTTTGTTTGGCATGGTACTTGATTTCTTTGTATATCTAATACTTTTATATTAGCATTTCAGTAATTAATTATTTCTAATATTAATTATTATAAATATTATGGAGAATATTTTAGCGTTTATTTAGGATTACATAAATATTTATGTATTTAGAAATTAGAATTAAATATTACTTTAGAATGCTATAAAGGTAATATTTGATCAGTATGTTCAAGTGATTTCAAAATATAAGTAACTAATTAAATGTAATGAATATCATTTTAGGTAAACGCATTAAAGAAAAAGGAAAGAAAAAAAAAATCACCGAGGAAGCTATAGAAGCTTTACTTTTGCACTGCCTTCAAAATCCTGAAGATTCTGAAAAAGGACTCCCTCACACAAGAAGAACTGCAGGCTTTTTAGGGGAATCTTAATTATGAAGGGGATCAATAAATTACCTTAGTTTTGTACTGGTCTTCTGACTCTTTTTTTTCAATAATCAAGAAGTCTCGTCAATTATGCCAGCAAAGAGATTAAAAAATATCCTTTCAAATTTCAAAATTCTTTCAAATTTGCATATCAATGGCAATCTTGCAATTTTGAATGGCAAATTTGAAAGGATATTTTTTTATATCCCTTGAAACGAGCCAGAATTTGACAAATTAGAGTAAATGCGTTCTTTGATCACCCATTTAGATAAAAATTCAAGAAAAATATTCAGACTTCAATCTATTGATGAAAAATTGGTAAAATTCAAAGGAAGGTCCACAATGAAGCAATATATGCCAGGGAAGCCTGTAAAAAGAGTTTATAAGATTTGGGATAGATCAAATGCATCAATTGGTTACCTATATCAATCTGAAGTTTACACTGGGAAAAAGACTTGAATTTAGGTTGAGAGTAGCTCGCAGCCTAATTGGAGGCTTCTCTAGTAAAAAAACGAAAACTGCAATCAAACTGAGCATCAGCGAAAAAGGAAAATGCTATTCCAAGGGGAAATCTGAACAACTAATGTTAGAACACACATGCCAGTCAGAGGAGAAAGTTAGAGAAGGTGCAAGTATTGCAGCACAAAAGTAAATCAGAAACGTACCAATGTGTTATGTTCAACATGTCATGTACCATTCTGTGCTGATTCATGTTATAAATAAAAATAAAAATTAAAATCAGTAGAAGTAGTGCATTTGGTTATATTTATATCTGTAATCAATTTTATATTCATCATTGATTTTATATTATATGTATATTTAAATAATCAAGAATAAATAGTTTTCATCAAAAATACATGTTTATTTGTGATATTTTTGTAATTATGATTTTTTTCTTTTGCACAACTCGGTAAAACACCATTGCTTATACCGAGCGGTGGTAAATATGTTACCACCCCTTTTATAAACAACAACAACAACAGAATTCTCAAAATAGTATTTTTGGTCATAAACGAGCTACTTTTCCCTAATAGTTGCATAAAATATGAATTTGGAAAATAAATGGCCTGGGCCCGATAAAGGGTTAACTTTTACTCTCTCTTCAGTTTTATATTTATATTGGGGATTTGTGTATATAAATTACTAATCCTGTTTACAACAGATAAATTTTGGATCTCATTCCACAGAGACTAATTATAAAAAATAAAATTCTTATTTTTTAATTAAATGATAAAGGAAGCAGAAAGTAGACCTCTACATGGAAAAACACTCACACAAACAGTTTCACAGTACATTTTTTCGAAGACAAGACTTTTTCATTTACACTTA